AAGGTATCCGGGATTGATGTCGTTGAGAAGCGTAGATCTTTCCCCCGCAAGTTGGATGGCCGTAGCGTGGTATCCGATTTACCATATTCCAATGGGAAGGACCATCAAAGATTTGTCCACTTGTTTCCTTACTTATCACACTCTTTCATCTTCTTTCCAAGGTACTAATCTTCTTCTCAAGATTCAAGTCCTTCGATGTGTGTGTTTATTTACCGTGAAAATGTAACCGTTTTTGTCTTGATTTTACAGATATGGAGCCAGAAGAAAATGGCGGAGAAAAGGAGAGGACACGGAAGGAAGGAGAAGGGGTAACTTTACTTCCTTTCGGGTTAGCAACTTACAAGATGCAAGGCAATGTTTGGCTCTCGGAAGATGATCAAGGTCAAGATCAAGAGCGAGTTGTGTCGCTTCTAAGCGTCGCGGATTCTTGGCTAAAACAGCTAAGAGTCCAACACCATGACTTCAACTACTTCTCAAGAATGGCTCACCGTGGCTAAAACAAATCCGCGCTTTGGTTTCAAACGTAGACTTTTTTTTTTATCTCCTTTTGTTTTTCTTGTTGGTGTCAAGTTAAAAGGAGATTACTTTTTTCCCTGGTCGCAATACCGTGGTTGAAGTGGCAACGGAGAGGAGGCTCATACCGCTGACTGAGCGTTTCCTTAACGCAATTACAGCGGTTTCTGCGTTTTGGATGTTAAATAGCTTTTGAGTCCTATCAATGGGAGATACCATATACCATAAGTGCTGATTTGTTGAAAAAGAGTGTTTTCTTGTTTCTTGTTAACATGTGATTGAGAGGGTCTTGTTCTTGTACTACCTCAGTAACATTTTAATGGAATAGTAAAATTTAACGATCTAATCATATTTGTATATTTAACGCAAATCTTATTGTATCAACGAATCACATATTTGATGGACACAATATCACTTTTGATGATCATATAACCATTTAATGTTTCTAGCAAGAAATACCTAATCTACTAGGATTTGACTATTAACACATCCGAACTAAAAGATTGAACACATGAATGTATAGATGATTTTGGATTTTGGTTATCTTTTTATAAAGAAATGGATTTATGAAAATAAAAATACATGCTATAATGGGACCTAGTGAGGACAAAAATGTCAAACATGTGTCGGAGAAAAATGAAATAATGTGGACCTTAGATTTGTAAATTGACTTGATGGAGTGTTCAGTGTTTGGTCCCTCCAGCGATTTTTCTAGACCTTCTTCTAACCTTTTTTTTTGTTTAATTAAATGGAAGAACGAATCATTTCCTAACAATTAGATATGGAAAAAAAAATCATTTAAGTGGTCGGCCCGTTTCATTTTTCCGGTAATAAATAA